CGAGCCATCTGCAAGACCAACAGCTTCCTGCTGGCCCCTGCACTCGCGCTCCTTCCCGTTACAGCGCTGCCAGTTACAGCACTGGTGTTTATTTTCACTCGCCGTGCTGTAACTGTCCCTGGCTCCTCTGCCAAGAGCTGCTGCGCTGAGCGTGTTGCTGTTGCTCCGCGCAGCTGCCAGGCCACGCTCAGCCGCGGGGTCCAGCAGCGTGATCGCGACGGCCGCACAATCCAGCCAGTGTCTTAATCCTGGGTTTCCTGTGGGAGGAACGGCCCCGTCCTCCCCGCTGCACGCTTCCGCTCCTTGTTTGCCTTAGTCCATCCCAAATAGCCCACAAAAAACTCAAGCCACGCAAGTGATGCATCGTCGGTACCGTGACCATCACGGAGCCATTCCCACCTCCCTCCTAACCATGCCGGATCTCGCCTGAGTATCCAGCTCATGCTGCAACATCCCGGCGCTCGTTTACCTCCAGATCTTGATTCCTAAACTGACTCTCACTTGAGTAATTAATATCTCAAGCCCAGTCTGCGTAGAGCTGCATCCGCTTCCTTAAAGGAGCTATTTTTAAGCAGGGAAATATCCATCAGAAAAGCCACTGAAATTCAGCTTCCACCAGGAAAGCCTCAACTTGCAGGCACAAGTTAACCTGATGCAGCATCTTCAAGCCCGCATTAGAGTGAAGCGAGCAAGCTACTTGCAGGGGACTCGTACAAGGGCAACCCCCAAGCAACAGGATGGTCCCTGACCCGTGCCCAAGCCCACGCCACAGCACAGGGCTTGCTGCGGGAGGGCAGCAGTGACCCAGGACTCCCTGGGCTCGTTTTCCCCCCCGCAGCAGGCCCTCATGCCCAGCACTTTGAACTTGAGCCGCAGCCAGCTCCTTGGATTCTCTGGAAAGCCATCAGCGCCGAGCAAGGTCAGAGCTCCCTGCGAGATCAAGCAAGCAGGCGAGGGAGAGGACAAAACCTGCAAGCGGGAGGTCAAACGCAAACACGTCGCAAAGCCAGGACACAAGTCACCCCCGGAGCCGGCGCTGCACTGGAGCCTGGGACTCCCGTGGGCGAGGGGGCTTTGCTTTCCCCCTCCACGCTGGGGATTCAGACTGCAGGACAGAGGGCTTTGTTTCAAGGAGAGGTATGTTAGAGGCAACCAGCGAGCACGACTGCCCTGCTCTCCTTCACAGCAGGAGCAGGCAGAGGGGCATTTAGGCAAGGGCAGAGCGCTCCCTTCCCATGCCTCCGCGAGAGCACTAAGGGACCATTGAAGGGCTGTGTTATCCTTGGCCTCCTCTCACACATCCCGCACGGTGGGACACGGCACACGGGCAGGAAAACCTATTCATCGGAGATGGAGGGTAACGAGCTCGATCGTTTTGAAGGCTATATATAAATGAATGTAGAAACATCAGGAAAACGCTTTTGCCTGGAACAGCAGTTAGCGGGGGAAGCTTGTGGCGGGAGAAACTAGTCTACAGTGGAAAATACATCCAGCAGCAGCTTAATGAGCTGCTTATTAGCTCTCCTCTGTCTCTGGCACCCAGGGCAGGCCACTTGCTTTAAACTCAGTGCACATGGAGCCTTCTGCTTCGCCCCACATCCCTATGGCACATTGCCATTGGAATAATACGGGTGCGTTCCTTCAGCTGCATCCCTGGCACGCTGTCCTCCCTTCGCCAGGTCTACTCAGGGCCATGTACTCCTGGGGTGGCAGCGAGTTTGTGACATGCAGCTTGCTCCCCAAAACCCACCACAGCAACCCCAAAACTGTGCTTGGAGTTGGTCTGGCTAGAGACAGGCGTGCAGCCCCAAGAAGGGGGAAAGCAGAGGGCGAGATGTGCACACACAGCAACGCCCGGCTCCAGCTAAGGCTCCCCATGCACACGCAGGCATTACGGGAAGGATGAGGATTCGGATCCCACCCTTCGAGAGCGGCTGGAGAGCCAGAGAGAGAAAAAGCTTTTACCAGAAGGCTCTGAACGTATTGTTTTAATATCTCCTTGCAGGCCAAGAATACAGGGGCCTGGGCAGAGGGAAACTGTGAGAACTGTTTGCACACCTGCCTTTCCCAGCCATTCCCCCGTTTTCCAAACAACAGAGAGAGAGGGAGAGGAGAGGGGAAAAGGGATTGATTTCACGTGGGAGGCTGCACCCCCTGCCTTCAGCAGATGAAGGGCCGAGGCAGCCGCTGCCCGGATGAAAGGCAGGGCAAGGGCCGTGCCTGCGCACCCCGGCATGGAGCGAGCCAGCTTGGCAAGGCCCCTGGAGAGATGCAGACCCCCTGTGCTCCCCTCCGGGCCGGGGGCAGCGGCACGGCAGCATGCAGAGACCGCGGAGATTTGCCAAGGTTTCACACACGCTCCTCCGTCCCCCTGCGTGCCCCATGGTTCAGAGTGGGATATCCTGGGAAGCTGGAGGTCCCCAGAGGTTTGTCCGAACTCTGTCCCTCCAACCGCAAGGAGGGACCTGCTCTGCCAGCACGGCCACGGGCAGGGTTGTAGCAGCCCCGTGTCTCTGTGGGATGGCGGCGGGGATGCTGTGTGGATAGCAGAGGATGGCCGAAGGGCCCAGCTCAGCCCCAGGACCTCTCCATCCATTTGGTGCCTCCACATCCAGCTGCCGAGCAGCAGAGCCAGAGGAGGGATAACTCAGTCTCCTCCCCTTGGCCAAGAAGCTGCTGCCAGAGCACAGCACACAAGCTTCGAGCTGCAGGGAGAAGGGCAGAGATTCCTGCCCGGCACAGCTACCCCCTTTTTCCGCTCGGCAACTGGCACAGGCAGCGATGGAAAGAGAGCATGGAAACAAGGACAGGGACCGTGAATTCCTTCCTAAGCTTCTCCAGAGAATCTGGCAAAGCTGATTCCCTTCCTCTTCCCACAGGATGGGAATGAGCAAGAAGGCAAGCATCTCATGACAAGCATCTCATGACAGCATCCCCACCACCATCCCACAGAGACACGGGGCTGCTACAACCCTGCCCGTAGCCGTGCTGGCAGAGCAGGTCCCTCCTTGCGCTCAGAGGGACAGAGTTCGGACAAACCTCTGGGGAGCTCCAGCTTCCCAGGATACCCCACTCTGAACCATGGGGCTCGCAGGGGGACAGAGGAGTGTGTGTGAAACCTTGCTTCAATCCCTGTTCCAAGGAGCTTCCGTAACCCTGGCTGGGACAGCAGCCGGCACAGGGTGGGTTTGTTTGCTGGCTCCAGGCTTGGGCAGATGCCTGCTGGCTGCCCCGCTCCCCTGCTGCAAAGAGCACGGGCAACAGGTTTATCTTTACTAGAAGCAGGAGCTGGCATCTATGCCAAGCTAAACCATACAGCGGGAATGGGGGGGGAAGAGACATGGCACAAGGAGAGGAGGAAAAAACCAGGAACAAAAGTTAAAAGGAGACAAATCTGCAGCATGGACCCCGTGCAAGAAGGCAGTGCTTCTCTGGAGCTGACCAAGATCCAAGCCTCCAGTTCATCGCCCTGCAGCTTGTACCCTTTTGGCCTGAGAGCTCCTCACCGCTGAGCAGCACGTAAACCTTGGAGCCAAGTTCAGAGAAGCAGAAGCTGACAAGACAGTGAGGAAGCGCCCATTTCCCCATGGTCCGTGCGCAGGGACGTGACGGAGAAGCCCAGTTTCTCACCAGTGTTCGAGTGCCGCATGCAGAGTGAAGTGTCACAAGAAGGGGATGTGTGTTTCAACACAGATGCCTGGGTGCTGGCAGCCAGACAGCCACAAAATAGAGCAAGGAAGTGCTTGTAATTAGAAGGACCTCATCTTTAAATCAGTTGTAGTTTCACTGGCGGTGAGCTCAAACAAGAGGTAATTTTGGCGTGCTCATGGGGGTTGAGAGGACGCCCACCCCCATTTCCCTCCAGGAGAACATACATTTGTTTCTAATATATTTATACAGATGGGATTGACCAAGCGCCCATTGCAGTCTAGAGTGTCACCACACGAGATCCCTCCCTAGAAGATGAGAGTTTCCAGGCAAAGCAAAGTGCCAAAAAAAGGTCCAAACCTCCCAAGGGCCAAATCACAGAGTTGATCCGCTCAAGGCAGTCGTTCAAGTTACTGTAAAAGAAGTCACCAGGAATTGCAAAAGGAAACCAATTTACCATGGGAGCACTTCTGGCTTGCGTTTTTGTTCATCTGGATGAAAGTATTAGCCAAAATCACAGTCAACAGAAGTGAATCCTTTTGGAAGGGGCAAGATAAGAACTCAGCCCTCTGTACAGCAGCACTTTGTGACGTGCAGCACGTATTGAATCCACAAACTGAACTGAATCCATAAAAACAAAGTGACTGCTGCTTGTTGGCCATCATTTGCAGATGTCCCTTGGGCTGTTGCTGCTTCTGATATCTGCTCAAGTACCAGTTTCTGTTCCTCCTCCTCCTCCAGTCAGCTACTACTACTAAGAGCCAAA